CCAGTGGGCAGTTTAGAGTCAACTGCATTGCCGTGGGTCTGGAGTCACATGTAGGCCAGACCAGGTAAGGATGGCAGTTTCCTTCCCTAAAGAACATTGGTGAACCAGATGGGTTTTTCCCAACAATTGACAATGAATCATGGTCATCATTAGACTCTTAATTCCAGATATTTATTGAATTCAAATTCCTTCATCTGCCATGGCAGGATTTGAACCCAGGTCCTCAGAATGTTATCTGGGTCTCTGGATTAACAGTCCAGCGATAATACCATTAGGCCATTGCCTCCCCAAATAATGTGGCTATAAGAACAAGTCAGAAGTTGGGGATTCTGTGTTGAGCATTTCACCTCCTGACTCCCCAAAACCTATCGACCACCTACAGGGCACAAATCAGGAGTGTGATGGAATACTCCCCACTTGCCTGGATAAGTGCAGCCCCAACAAAACTCAAGAAGCTCAACACCATCAGGACAAAGCAGCCCACTTGATTGGCAGTTCGTCTACCATCTTCAACGTTCAATCCTTCAATCATTAAGCACAGGGCCATGACTGTGTTCCATCTACAACATCTCCCTCCAAAACCATGACCTCTACCATCTAGAAGACAGCAGATACATGGGAACACCATCACCTGTAAGTTCTCCTCCAAGCCACTCGCCATCCTGACTTGGAAATAAATTGCAGTTCCTTCTGTGTCAAAAAATCCTGGAATTCCCTCCCTAAAAGTACTGTGGGGGTTCCTGCACCCTAATGGTTCAAGAAGGTGTTTCATCACCACCTCCTCCAGGGCAATTAAGGCCAAGAAATAAATGTTAATGGCCTGCAATACCTATATCCATGAATAAATAAAGAACAAATATTAATTTAATGAAAGCAATGGATGTTATTGTTATGGAGTTGCATCTGTTTGGATCTTATACCAATTCTGCTGTGGCATAAAACACATGGTACATGATGTTAACAACACTCATCATTCTTAATGGTAATGTGGATGCAGGATTCAAGCAGGAGCTTTAGGATTGTGCCAAGGCAGAGGCAAAATTAACAAACTCTGTCTACCGTGGCTCCAATTCAACGCCAGCTTGGATATTGGGTTTGGTCTGCCTTTCAGGATCATATGTGTGGCAATCCTGGGAGCTGTTAGAGACACCTCAAATGTTTGAACTGGAAACACATCTGGTTATGTAATGAACTTATTCAATGCCATCATTCTACCCTGCTGGTTATAATCCCATTATAATCCCATTAAAATAACACACAAATCATCTCGCGTATAAAACTGCATCCTCACAACCAAGCTGCTCGCAAAGAATAATATCCAATGATTCAAACACTCAGACTTTACAATGTGTAAAACTTAGTCAATCTCAAGCTTAAACCATTATGAGGTTCAACAATAACTGTAACAATCCAAAGTATGATAGTTCCTTTGCTGTTTTAGCTGTGCCAGGGTGCAGGAAGGGTTAAGAAATAGGAGCAGGAGAGGGCCATTCAGCCCCTCAAACCCACTCAGCCATTCTACGGAATTATGGCCGAGCCTCTATTGCTGTGCAGGGGAACATTTCAAGGCGGGTTTGAGGAAATGGGCGTGTTTGGAAATTCAATTGTGTTTGTGATTAAATAGGTGGAACTGTGTGTGTGTGTGTGTGTGTGTGTGTGTGTGTGTGTGTGCGTGCGCGCGCGCGCTTATGTGTGCATGTGTGTGAGTACATGTTTGTGTGTGTTTGTGTGTGTATGTATGCATGCGTGTGTGCATATGTCTGTGAGAGTAAATGTATATGTGTTTGTGTGAGTGCGTGTATATGTGTTTGTGTGCGTGTGTGTGTGCAAGAGAGTGTGTGTATGAGTGTGTGTCTGTGTGAGAGTGTGTGTGTGCGTGTGCGCGTGTGTCAGTGTGCATGTGAGTGTGTGTGCATGTGTATGAGTGGGTATGTGTGTGTGTGTGTGTGTGTGTGCGCATGCACGTGCATGTGTGTGTAGGTGGGGTAGTGGTGATCACTGAGGATGTTCCCTGACACTTGTTATTTTGTATGTCCTTAACAGTTACTGCTGTGGGACTTCAGATTGGAGGAAGCTACAGGCTCAGTGAGGTCCAGAAACACATTCACACCAAACTGAATAAATCCTCATGCACTTTCCCACTGAGTTACATAGCCTCATGATATTCCTGGAGTTTTATCCAGCTATCTCAATCAAAAAGCTTTAAGACAATTCTCCCAATTTCATTGAACGGTCTGAATCGAGCACATTGCCTTGTTTGGGTGTCATCACTCGAGAATCAACTGCAGTTAGGATTATGATAAACCAGGAAAAACCATTTGCTGTGTTTCCCTTTTTACACCATTTGGAGTATTCACTACAGTAACAAACCTGAACATTGTCAAAATTAGATCTGACTTCATACAGTTGTTTTCCATTAGCTTGCTGATTATTTGCAGATCTGAAATCTGCTTTTCATCTCCTTTCAACTACCATAAAGAAAATTCTTTCAAATCTAGACCTGAATATTGCTCCTCTGTTGAAAGGGTGACTGAATATAAATCAAGCTTGATTTACATCTTTGTGCTCAAATGATTGTCATGGAAACCTGGCCAAAGCTGTAAAACAAGAAAAAGCCAGTGAAGAGTAAAGTTCTATGTAATGAGGTCTTTGTGAGACTTGATGGTTCACTCTGTATGCACTCATCATATGAGCCTGGCTCCCATAACAGCTCCTCAGTGCAGGTGCCAATCTCACCCATTGTTAGGAATACCCTTGTCCACAGGGATGGTTTGGAGGAAATTCATTCCTCCTCTAAACAAGAAACTCCCCTCAGTCCTTTCTCCCCAATACTGCTCAGCAACTAGTTACGTTGTAGCACTGATACAGAGAATTAAATTCTGATCATATCAGGTAAGGAATAGTGATAATTCCCCAACCACCAATGCTTAGTAGCAGCAGTGTGAACTATCTACAAAATGCACTGCAGGAATTCACCACGGCTCCTTAGATATCATGCTTCAAACCCATGACCACTTCCATCTAGAAGGACAAGGGCAACAGAAAGATGGGAACACCACTGCCTGCAAGTTCCTCTCCAGAACATTCACTATCCTGATTTGGAAATACATCGCTGTCCCTTCAGTGTCGCTGGGTTAAAATCCTGGAACTCCCTCCCTCAGGACATTGTGGGTCAACCTACAGCACATGGACTGCAACGGTTCAAGAAGGCAGCTCACCCCCACCTTCTCAAGGAGCAACTAGGGACGGGGCAATAAATGCTGCACCAGCCAGTGACACCCAAATCCTGCGAGCGAATGTTTAAAAAGAGCATAAAACGAGGTAGGAAGATTAAATAAAGTGTTTAAATTACACTTTTCTTTCTTTGCAAGTGAAACCGGTGTCACTGTCTAGGCCAGTATTTATTGTTGGTCACAAACAGCATCAGATGAGCCTTCTGCCTGTAACTACTGCAGTCCTTGCAGCCTGCAATGCTGTTATGGATGGAGTCCCAGGATTTTAACCCAGTGACAGTAAGGAATGGCAATATATTTCCAAGGCAGGATGCTGTGTGGCTCAGAGGGGAACTTGCAGGGGATGGCTTTCCCATGTACCTGCTGCCCCTGTCCTCCTCAATGATTGAGGTAGTGGGTTTGGAAGGTGTAGTATGGATTAAGCTAGACCTGAAGCCGTTAAAGACAGAAGGAAAAAAGTAGACAAAGCAAGAATATGTATCCCCAAAACTTCAAGGCAAAAAAGTTAGAAATGACCATTCCTCAAGCACTGTATGATTTTTTCTGCAGTTATTTTTGCTCTCAGGTAAGGATAAAGTTAGACTGTGAGATTTGCTCCATGATATAAGTTTGAGATATCAGTTTGGATGTTCTCACATGATAATTTGATACCAAAGACAGCCTGGTACTTTATCAGGAAATCAGTGATGCTTTAAATTTTACTCAGTATACGTTACCAATGTTTATAGATGCACCACAGAAAGCAGCCTGTCTAATGCATCACTGCAGGGTAGGCAACTGCTCTGCCCAAGACTGCAAGAAACTACGGAGAGTTATGAACGCAGCCCAGTCCATTGGAAAAACCAGCCTTCCATCCACTGACTTTGTCTACACTTCCCACTGTCTCAGGGAAGCAACGAAAATAATCAAAGGTGCCTCCCACCCCGATTATATTCTCTTCCACCCTCTTCCGTCAGGCAGAAGATACAAAAATTTGAAAGCACATACCAACAGATTCAAGAACAGCTTCTTCCCCGCTGTTATCAGACTCATGAACGGACCTCTCATATATTAGAGTTGGTCTGTCTCTGCACCTTCTCTGTAGCTGTAACACTATATTCTGCATTCTGTTCTATTACCCTGATGTACTTATGTAAGGTAGCATTTGCCTGGATAACACGCAAAACAATACTTTTCACTGTATCTCAGTACATGTGGCAGTAATAAATAAATCAAACCAAATCAAATCTGTTAGAACTTATTATATAATTTGGGACAGAATGATCTGAGCATGATTTAGTTTCTTTAAAGAATATGTTTCGCTACTATGTTTCAGAGACAAAGATTTTGTAAGATACAGAACTCAGTGGAAGATAAATATCAGTGGAAATGCCCATCTTTAAGGGTAGTGAGTGGGCCATTTGCCTGTAAACATCTCAAACTGTAGTGTTTGATTCTATGATTATTTACTGTCTTAACTGAGACAAAAAAATTAATAAAGATCAATCACCTCAGGCTGCTATGTGATATTTCCAAACAGCCAATTATTACCCTAACTTGGGGCTGGATATATCTTGCCCCGTGAGGTGAATTTTTGATCGGGGTGGGGGAGGAATGAAGGACGCTAGCTTTAAATTCACTGGTGACCAGCTATAACCAAGACCTCACAGGTTACAGGTGAAAAATTAAGAAAATAATAGCTTGCTGACACTTCAAATAAAAAGAAACACTTTCTGTGCCTCCGAAATGCATTTCTAACACTTTGAAACAGAATAGTAAAACACCTACCCTGTGCAGAAAGCTGTTTTCAAACAACATGCACCAGATATCAAGTCAGATTTGGAAAATTCTCTCTCAGTGGCAAGAAATTTTCGCAAAGGGCAAAACACTGACATGCCAGAGCTGAGGATTATTTGAAAAGCAATATGAACACAGTGGGCTAAATCACCTTCTTCCGTGCCATATCATTCTATAATTCTGACCTCCGAAACAAACCTGCTAAATTAGAGCAGATTGAGTAGATGATAATACTTTTCTCAATAATTACATTGGCAAAGCAGAATAATCCACATTATTCTGTTTTGTCAGTGAAATTATTGAGAAAAGTATTATCATCTATCAATCCACATTATTCTGTTTTGTCAGTGAAATTATTGAGAAAAGTATTATCATCTACCAATCCACATTATTCTGCTGTGCCATTCAATGAGGTCATGACTAATCTGACAATCCTCAACTTCACTTTCCTGCATTTCTCTATAACTTTTGATTCCTTTCCTGATTAAAAATCAGTCTATTTCAGCCTTGAATATACTTAATGACTCAGACTCGACAGCCCTCTGTGGTAAAGAATTCTACAGATACACTTCCCTCTGAGAGAAAGAATTCCTCCTTATCTCTGTCTTAAATGGGGGGCTCTCTTACTCTGAGATTATGCTCTCCGGTCCTAGACGCTCCCACAAGGGGAAACTACCTCTCAGCACCTACCCTGCCAAGTCCCTTAAGAATCTTGTTTTTTTGAGAGTTCATTCAGGATGTGAATGTTGTTGGTTGGGGCCAACAGTTATTGCCCATCCCTAATTGTTCAGAGGGCAAGTTCAGAGTTAATCTCCATTATTGTGGGTCTGGAGACACATGTAGGCCAGACCAGGTAAGATTTCTTTCCCTAAATTACTAGGAGTCACAATTTCAAGGTGAGAGGGGAAAAGTTTAAGGGAGATATGCGTGGAAAGTACTGTACGTAGAGGGTGGTGCGTGCCTGGAACGCGTTGCCAGCGGAGATGGTAGAGGTAGGCACGATAGCGTCATTTAAGATGTAGCTAGACAGATACATGAATGGGCAGGGAGCAGAGGGATACAGATCCTTGGAAAATGGGCGACAGGTTCAGATAGAGGATCTGGATCGGCGCAGGCTTGGAGGGCCGAAGGGCCTGTTCCTGTGCTGTAATTTTCTTTGTTCTTTGTTCTTTGTTGGGTTTTTGCAACAATTGGCAGTATTTACATTTCATTTCAATAAAATCACCTTTCATTCTTCTAACTTGGAATGTGGACCTCTCCTAACACTGACCCTCCATACCTGGGCTCAACCTAGTGGATGTTCCTTAGACTGCCTCCAATGCGATTAAATCTTTCCTTAGATAAAAGCCCAAAAGTATTCACAGTATTCCATTTGGAAGGACAAGGGCAGCGGATACATCAGAACACCACCCCCTGCAAGTTCCCCTCCGAGCCACTCACCATCCTGACTTGGAAGTATATGGCAGCTTCTTCAGTGCTCTTGGGTCAGAATCCTGGAATTCCCTTCCTAATGACATTGTGGGTCAACCTATAGCACATGGACTGCAGCGGTTCAAGAAAGCACCTTCTCAAGAGGGCAACTATGGACAGGCAATAAATGTTGGACCAAGCCAGTGACGTCCACATTGCACAAAAGGAAACGCTGATCTGGGAACACAGCCTGTCTTGTGAATTTTAGCTAACATGCTGAATGTGGATTTTCTTGAATTTTGTGTTGCAACAAGACCAGGTTGGTAATAAGGCCCATTCTAGTGGCTGATTTTAGCTGGTCACATGGTCTAATGGGTATAACGTCCAGTTTTGGTGGTAATCGAGTTTTGATCAGGAGATTGCAGGATCAAATCTGGTGGATAGTCAGAGTCTTTTTCCCAGGGTGAAAATGTCAAATATTAGGTGGCATAGGTTTAAGGTGAGACGGGGCAAGTTTAAAGGAGATGTGCGAGGCAAGTTTACTACACTGAAGGTGGTAGGTGCCTGGAACATGCTGCCAAGGGAGATGGTAGAAGCATATACAATTGCAATATTTAAGAGGGATTTAGACAGACACATGAACAAGCAGGGAATAGAAGGATATGGACCACGTGCAGGTTAGTTTAGTTTAGTTTAGATTAGTTTAGAATGGCATCTTGTTCGGCACAGACATTGTGGGCCGAAGGGTGTGGTCCTGTGCTATACTGGACTATGTTTTCCTTATAGTGTTTCCTGTCTATGAAATAAAATATAAAATCTATTAAATGCTTTTGTACACACAGAACCATCCAGAAGATCTTTTTTCAAGGAAGTCACTTACCCACATAGCCTGGGGTACCACACGCCGTAGACATAACATCCCCCGTGCCTTCCATTTTGGACAAACCAAAATCACTGATCATAATTTTGGATTCTTCGTCAGGGCTGAAGTACAAGAGGTTTTCTGGCTGAGTAAAGATTTGAGAAGAAAACACACAAGACTACTTCAATCTTCTTCTATTGGGAGTGAAAATAAAATTAATGATTATGAGATGAAAGGTAGCATTGATGAGAAGCTCTTGTTTGAAGGTGATCCACAGCCCGTAACTGGGTTGCTGTGGAAGGAACAGACTTTCTGGCTGCAGGTTTTCCCAGAAAGAGGTCAATGCAGTCTCCAGAATGAGATGTGGGTCTCACTGGCCAGACCAGTATTTAGTCCCATCCCTAACTGGCCAGATAGCTGTTTAGAGCCAACTACAATGTTACAGTCTGGACCAGATCATGTAAAGGTGGAAGATTTCCTGAAGGACATTAGTGAACCAGATGGGTGTTTATGACAATCAACAGTGTTTACACAGCCACCATTTGGCTAGATTGTTAACTTGAGTTTTTTTTTTAAACTGAAGTGAAAAATCACCATCTGCCATGATGAGATTCGAGCCTATAACCCCTGATATAACCCTAGAGTCCTGGATTATCAACCCTATGGCATTATCACTATGCCACTGACTTGCCTCACTGAAAGGCTTCTATTTTTAAACTAAACATGCTGGGATGTTCGAGTTCTTTCATTTAAAACTGAAGGTTAGTTTACCTGTGGATTAGAAGTGTCAGCTCCAATTTCAGCATTCAGCAGGAGAATTTTAAAGAGAAATATTAAATTATGAATAAAGAGTGAATTGCAGTGACCATGAAATTAATGTCTTTTTGGGAAGGAAATCTGCTGTCCTGAGCCAGTCTGGCCCATTTGGTTTAAAGACGTGCAGGTTAGATGGATTGGTCATGGGAAATGCAGGGTTACAGGGGGCTGGGTCTAGGTGGGATGCTCTTTGGAGGCTTGTTGTGGACTCGATGGACCGAATAGCCTGCTTCCTGCACTGTAGGGATTCTATGATTCTATGATCTGAGACTCTGGTCCCGCAGCATCGTGGTTTACTCCTAATTGTCCTCTGAAATGGTGCAGTTATATTCAAGCAGGCAGTTCACCCCCTATCTTCAGTGCAGTAATTAGTGCTGGCCAGTAAATGCTAGCTCTGCCATTGATGTCCCCATGCTAAGAATGAAGTTTAAGAGAAAGCCTATAGCTTTAATGTTTGTCTCCTTTCTCAGTTTGATTGCTTTAGATGTTAGATGCTGGAGTGATTATCAGTTCAATCTATTCACTACGACTGACAGTGTGAAGGAAGTGAACTTAATTAGGCATGTGCACTTCAAGTAATATAATGAGACGTTTGCATCCTAGGTTAACTGCCACATCCACTCAAACCAGCTGTGTTCAGGCTATGAGATCTTCCTCATTCAGTTCTCCTGATGTGATCATTAGCATTCACTGTCATCAGTAAAACCATTCCAAGAAATCTCTAGCTTGCAGATGGATGTTGACATTGAGATTCTTTGCCACCTTTGTGTTAGACGAACAGGAACTGTATTGAGGTGTCACTGTGGGAGCACTAAAGCATTTATCGCTTCACAACTAAAATCACTGGATACTTTCATCATTATGACCTTGCTCGCCTCTGTCCCTGCCTCAGGCTAGCTGCTGCTGAAAACCTCCTCCATGTCTTTGTTACGTGCAGTCTTGAATATTTCAATTCCCTCCTGGGCAGCCTCCCAAAGCTTAATGTAAGCTTTGCTAATCATATCCAAACTCACACCAGCCCCATTTGTCATTGCCCCTCTGCTCGTCCATCTACGTTGGCTCCCGATTAACTAACACCTCAATTTTAAAATGGTCACCCTTGTTTTTAAGCCACTCGACACCTCCTCACATCTCCCCCTTCTCTGAAACATGGACAATCCCCTCAAAGTCAGGACACACACACAACACCAGGTTATGGTCCAACAGGTTTATTTGAAATCACAAGCTTTCGGAGTGCTGCTCCTCCATCAGGTGAAGTGTCTATCTCAACGTTAAATGCGCTCTGAAAGCTTGTGATTTTAAATAAACCTGTTGGATCATAACCTGGTGTCGTGTGACATCTGACCTTGTCCAACCCAGTCCAACACCTCCACATCAATCCCTTCTGAAGAGGGGTCCCGACCTGAAACACCAGCTTTCCTGCTCCCCTGATGCTGCCTGGCCTGCTGTGTTCATCCAGCTCCACACTGTGTTATCTCTGACTCCAGCATCAGCAGTTCTTAATATCTCTGAATCCCATCAAAGCAATCTGCTTTCTTCCAATTATACATTTTGCACATTTCAATTTTAATTGCCACGACAGTATTTTCAGCTCCGTCAGTCCTAAGCTTTGGAATTCTTTCCCTAAACCTCTCCACTTCTTTGCCTTCTGTCCTTCCTTGCAACCAATCTCCCGTCTCTCCTCATATCATTCTCTGTGGTTTGGTGTCAAATTATGTTTGCTGACATAGTAGTGAAGTACCATTTTACAGCATTTAGGAGGTTTTTAGAAATGTAAATTGTTGGTACAGACATATAGCTCAGGACCATGCAGTTAATCTACCAGATTCATTTGTTGTTTTAAGACTGGGGCCTGAGTAACTTCATGGATCACTTGGATTGCTGGAGGCTCATCACACAAGAGGAACAACCTATTGAGTTCTGGCTGCAGTGTAAAGCTGCAATATCTGGTTTTAAAAAGGAGAATCACATATAAAACAGCAAAATGCTGGCACTGCAAAACTGGACTGGCCCACAAAATGTTAGCAGAGGAAAAGCAAAGGCCTGTAATCTGATATAAAATGTTGGGTCAATTTTAAACCTCCTACAGTGTATCAATCATTGCAGATTACCTCGACTCTGTTTAATTCTGAAATTAATTTTAGATGATCTGATTTTTGAGTAATTTCACTTTACAAAGACCTTTTGTAACAGTCATTAGGCTAATAGATCATATCATCAAGGCTGTACAAATATGTTGCATCAAGTTACCACAGGGCATTATTCTTGACATAGGGGACTAACAAGATACAACAGCATTACTGATGATGGAAGATATGTTTGCAATATGATCCAGTGTGGCAGGATTATCACCATATTCAAAAAAAAGCCTTGGCTCAATCTCTTCTGTTGGAATGGAGTTGTGAAGTGACAGTCTCCATATGTTAGCTCCAACCGATGGAATAACAAATCTTCAACAATAATAGTTGCATAATTTAGTTTAGAGTTCAGTCGAAATCTCATACGGACAGGACAAATTTAATGTTTAACCAGTTTTAAATCAATCATTCATTGACAATGTTCTCAAAAACAAAGAGAGACATGTATTGATATAGCACTTTCAATAAGCTCTGGACAATGCAAGTGACAAAAAATCGTTCAATTCAGTTCAATTCCCATTCCAAAGCACTTTACAGCCAACAACATGGTCACTGATATAATGAAGGAAACGTGGCAGCTAATTTCTTCACAACAAGCTGCCAAAATCTGAAAAGATAATCATCTTTCATCATTTTGATGGAGGGACCATTATCAGTCAGGACATAAGGATAACTAACTCTTCTTCAAAATGGCACGGGATCCTTTATGCCCAATTGAGAGACCACACGGGACCTCGGTTTAACATCACATCTGAAAGTTGGCACTTCTGACAGTGCAACATTCCCTCAGTACTGCAACAGAGCATCAATCTAGACTTTTTTTTTCCTTAAGTCTTGGGGCACAACCTTCTGCTCAGAGACAAGAGAGAGCTACCAACTGAGTCTTGTCTGATCAAGAGAATCAAGCTACGTTTGACTGAATGTATTGTGTTAGATTTTGACTCTGCTTGTTTTAATGCTTTGGACCAGCATCTGAAGTAGGTCATTTGGACCCTTGAGTCTGCTCTGCCATTCAACAAGATCTTGGCTGATCTAATGACTCCAAATTCCTGCCTCTACTCACTTGCTTATTAAGAAGCAACCTACCTGTTATATTATTAGGTTCCCTTGGATGTTGGAGTGTGTTGCGTCAGTGAGAGGGGGACCTTGTCATTATAGGGCTGATAGGAACAATCATCAACTTTCTCTAACCTCAGGGTGAAAAAACTTCTGGTTTAAGTTGGGGGACAGTCCCTGCCCTTGGGTCCAACACCACCTCCCACATCCCTCCTCCTGGCTCAGTGACGTGGAGATTCTTTCCTGTTGTCCCACTACTCAAACCCCTGACAACAGTGCCCTCTCACCCTCAAATGCCCCCCTACACCCATACTTTCCGAACACCTACAACTAAGCAGCTAGGAAACTTCTAGAATTAGTAGAGACTCAATGTAAACATGCCCTCACCATTTTCCAGAACATTCTGTTGGTTTTGCAGAAGGGGTACAGTGTTGGTAGTTGTTAAAACCATGTGGAATTCCATGGCTAATGTGCCCCTTAAATTAGAACCAGAGGGTGGTGAGTCTGTGGAACTCATTGTCATAGAGGGCTGTGGTGACCAAGTCACTGAGTGTATTTAAGAAAAAGATAGATAGGTTTTTTTTTATTATTCATTAACAGGATGAGGGCGTCACTGGATAGGCAACATTTATTGCCCATCCCTAATTGCCCAGAGGGCAGTTAAGAGTCAACCACATTCCTGGGGGTCTGAAGTTATACGTACACCAGACCAGGTAAGAATGGCAGTTTCCTTCCCCAAAGGACATTAATGATCCAGATGGGTCTTTCCTGACAATCGGCAATGGATTCATGGTCATCATTAGATTCTTAATTCCAGATATGTTTATGGAATTCAACCTGCCATGGTGGGATTCGAACCCGGGTGCCCAGAACGTTATCTGCGATAATATCACTAGACCATCGCCTCTTGATTAGTAAAGGTATCAAAGGTTACAGAGAGAAGGCAGGAGAATGGGGTTGAGAAACGTATCAGCCATAATTGAATGGCAGAGCAGACTCGATGGGCCAAATGGCCAAATTCTTCTCCTATATCTTTTCTTATGGTTCTTATGGATATGAAAAAACAAAATGATTAAGAATACCACTCTGGCAGCCATTTACAAGTTGTAGTTCTTGGTAGGGTAAGAATCATTGGGAATTTTTGAAAAGCCATGAACACGACACTCTCACTTTATGTTTTAACCCTCTCCTTATCACTGTTCTTGGCAACGCAAGACTTTGTACATTTATCAAATGGGCAAGTTCTAACAGGACATTAGGAACCTACCTTCAAGTCTCGATGAACAATGCACATTTTATGCAGATATTGCACAGCATCGAGGACTTGGCGTATCAGAGTACTAGCGTCTTTCTCTGTGTAAAATCCCTTCTCCACAATCCTGTCAAACAGCTCCCCTCCAGACACCCTGGCAAACAAACAGAAAGATGAAAGAAAAGTTAAAACTTATTTTTCTTCTCAACATAAAGCATAGTTTTACTTGCTTGAGGGGGAGGGTTTGGTCTGTTATCTGACTGCGAGACATAGATACAAATCTTACTTATGAGGCTACAAACCTTCACATTATTTTTTAAGAGGGTGGTTCCCAGAACAGGATACAACATTCTACTTGATGCTGTGTTCAGTCCCCCCCCCCAGTCTCGGGTGACTGTCTGTGTGGAGTCTGTACATTCTCCTTGTGTCTGCGTGGGTTTCCTCCGGGTGCTCCGGTTTCCTCCCACAGTCCAAAGATGTGCAGGTTAGGTGGATTGGCCATGGGGAATGCAAGGTTACAGGGATGGGGTGGGTCTGGGTGGGATGCTTTTTGGAGATTCAGTGTGGACTCGATGGGCCAAATGCCTACTTCCACACTGTAGGGATTCTGTGAGTATAAGAAGCCCAGAGTTCCTTAAGCCTTGTTAATCACACTTTCGACTTGACCTACAACCTTCAGTGATTTGTGCACAAATGCCCCTGAATCTCTCTGTAAAACAGATTTCATTTTTTCACAATATTGTGTACACTGTACTTCAGATATCAGGCTCAACAGACTCCTGGGATGGTAGGACCAACATATAAAGAGATACTGAATCGGTTAGGACTATCTTCACTGGAGGCTAGAAGAATATTGGGGGCAGTGGGTCTCAAATAAACCAATAATATTCTTACAAGACTAGTCAGGGTAAACACAGGAAGCATGTTCCTGACAACCAGGGGTCACAGTCTAAGGATACAGGGTAGGCCATTTGGGACAGAGTTGAGGAGAAGTGTCTTCATCCAGAGAGTGGGGAGCCTGTGGAATTCTCTGCCACAGAAAGGGATTGAGGCCAAAACATTGAATAATTTCAAGGAGTTAGATATGGTTCTTAGGGCTAAATGGGATCAAAGGGTATGGGGGGAGAAAGTGGGAACAGGGGACTGAGTTGGATGATCAGCCATGATTTCATTGAATGTAGGGGAGGATCGAAGTGCTGAATGGCCTATTCCTGCTCTTGTTTTCTATCTTTCTATCCCACAGACTGTGGGGGAGGCAAATAATCAGAAAAAAGTGCTTTATTCTAGTTTTTATTGAGGGATTAATGTTAGGAAGGACTGGGAAGATTCTGCTGCTCTATACCTCTCTGGCACGGGGTGAGATTTTAACCCAAACTCGCTCCTGGACAGGATTAAAATGGGCATCTCGCTCCCCTCTGTTTAACGTCTTATCCAAATGGCAGCACCGCTGACAGCACTGGGCGCACTCAGTCCTGCCCCACAGGATTATGTGCGTGCAGGAAATGCAAGCAGGAGTCAACCATCTGCTCCCCCAAGTCTGTTCCACCAGCTGTCCAGGTCACATCTGATCTGAGGGTGAATTTAAAATCATCTTCATTCCTAAGCCCCGCCAGAATCTTCGTATTCAAGTGGGGATTGAACCCACAATGTCCCAATTCAGCAGGTCAAAGGGCAACACACCGTGCCAAGCCTCAAAGATCTGCACTTACTCCCACGTAGCCGAATGGCCTATAATAACATCAGATTTGTTTTTATAACACTGCGAGAATTCTTATACAGAACAGTGTACAACAATTCACAGCAACATGGTACAGAACCAGGGACAGTAACCATCGCTGAAGGAAGAAATAGACTCCACCATCCAATGGAGCTAAGAAACAAAATCACCTAGATTTCATTGAGAATGCCAGGCTGTTTTCATTAAGGATTGGAGAAATTACTGAGCTATTGTTCGTTATTCACAATAAAAGAGGACTTTGCAGATCTCAATCATTGCTAACACCAGAGGCGCATGAGTGTGGAAATGTTGATTTACTCTCGAGAATGTAACATTAATTCATCTGTGCCTTGTGAGTTTTGGGGAAGAGATCGATCTGGAAATTACAAGGATAACCCAAAAAATAAATACCCAACTTGGTTTTGTGTTTAGTTTTGTAGCAAGTTTGCTGATGAATGCTGATTCAATGTCTCCAGAAAGCTGAGTGCCTAAGAAAATGACAAGAGAAGACTGCTGTGATGCAGTGGTAGTGTCCCTGCTTCTGGGATAGAAGGTTCAAGTTCCACCTGCTGCAGGGATGCATCACAACATAACACTCCACAGAGTGTCTGATCAGGTGGATTCAAAACATCTATAATAATGAGATCAGAGATAGTAAGAACTGCCAATGCTGGAGTCAGAGATAACACAGTGTGGAGCTGGATGAACACAGCAGGCCAGGCTGCATCAGAGGGGCAGGAAAGCTGATGTTTCGGGTCGGGACCCTTCTTCAGAAATGGGGGAGGGGGAAGGGAGCTCTGAAATAAATAGAGAGAGAAAGGGTGGGGCTGGGGAATGTAGGTGGGATGGTGATAGGTGAGTTGACCACTTTGTAGAGCACCTGGGCTCTGTTCACAGCAAACAACACCTTCCGGTTGCGAACCATTTTAACTCCCCCTCCCATTCCCTGGACGACGTGTCCATCCTGGGCCTCCTCCAGTGCCACAACGATGCCACCCAGAAACTGGAGGAGCAGCACCTCATATTCCGCTTCAGGAGCCTACAGCCCAATGGCTTTAATGTGGATTTTACCAGTTTCAAAATGTCCCCAACCCTGGCCTCATCCCATGACCAGCCCGCCCTCTCATCCCCGCCACCTCGACCTGACACAACCTGTCCATCTTCTCTCCTCTCCCACCTATCTGCCCCTCCCACCTCACTGACCAATCCCCACCACTGCCTACCTGCACTCACCTATCACCATGCCACCTACCTTCCCCAGCCCCACCCCCCCTCTATTTATTTCAGAGCTCCCTTCCCCTCCCCCATTTCTGAAGAAAGGTCCCGACCCGAAACGTCAGCTTTCCTGCTCCTCTGATGCTGCCTGGCCCTCTGTCCTCCTCCAGTTCCACACTGTGTTATCTATAATAATGAGATAATAACTTCCTCTGCCAAAATTAGTGTTTATGATTAATGCCAGCTCAAGCAGCCACACACACAGAAACACTTGTTTGCAGTCAAACCCCCACTGAGCGCTGCCTCATTGATGCCAGTGGAAGAATTGACTTGTCAATGCATGGCTTTATCAAAGTATTGGCACAACACCGTGTGAGGGAGAGGTGCCTCTGGAGTGGATTAGGAAGCCGTTGACCCATGAGGTGAGCTCAGAATGAGGCCTTGGTGCCTCGCCCATTACTAAACGCCCTGTGCGAAGTGGAAAGTGGCACAGTGAGGGGTAAGTGCAGGGTGGGAATGGGTTTGAAGGCTCTGTCACAGGACTGCACACATCCAGTCGGCCAGCGCCTCTCCCTGCTGGCCACCTCGGAGGTCCTGGCAACACAGCCTCTGAATTACATTGCTGACCTTTGCCAAATCACGCAAGTCTAATGGTTTCGGAGGCCATTCAGCCCACTATGCCTGCACCGGTTCTATTCCCTAGCTCCAATCTCTCGCCTTTTCCCTACATCCCTGCACACTGTTTTTATCCAGATAATGAGCTCTTGCCATCTTGCTTCAATCAGAAAAATAAGGAAAGGGAGATCATTTACATAGCCACTTTTCCAATCCTAGGGCAACCCAAAGCACTTTACAGTCAATGGTGGGTAGTCACATGGGGATAAGAGATGGGTAAATTTCAATCATTTTCTCCTGCGTGTGGCACTGAGGCCAAAGGGTTGATGAACTTTGGGCACAAGGCTGGTTTTGTTAAACATTTTTTTTTTCAGATGCAGCAGGAATTAGTTTCCTCCAAAACTGACATCGCTAATTGATTTCCTCTTTGAATTAAGTTGGCTCTCAGGCTTGTGTAATTATTAGACTGCATCATTTACTCAAGAAGCTAGCTCGCTCAACAAGAGATACACACTAACAGTTTAGGAAGTCAGGAAATTAGGAAGGTTTGACGCTTTGAGTAGAATTTTGCCAGCCCTATGGAGTGGGAGGGGGCAGCTTGAGTTTAGTGGGGGGCATGGATGGGCAGTGTTGCTGAGATAATTGCTTCAGTCAGACCTGTTTCCACCTCCTCACCCACATGGGTGCATGTAGCAATCAGCCTGGCAGAATTGGAAGCGCAAACAAACTAATTAAGGAGCTACTTAACAGCAATAATTGCAGCAGCCCTATAATTCCAGTGATGCTGCTGGGACCTCCTGCTGTCTGTGCACCTCAAGAGGAGGTGGGGGGGGAATGCTGCACAGTGAGGGGTGTCAGCTGCATTATCGCTGAAGCACAGTGAAAGGTTTCGGTGATGAATGACCAGGCTGCTGACTTCCCATTGGTCACTACTGATGGAAGGTTTCCTGGATGTCTCCAAAGATCACTGGAATCTCAGCCGCCCTCCCTGACAGGCATTGCCTCCAGTGGTTCACTGTCAGTGCTGTTGTTTGTGCCTTAGACCCGCGCCCAGTGCTCACACATTGAGAGCTGCCAGAGACCCTCGCACTGACCATGCTGCCTGCAGATCCCAACTCAAACACCGCGGTCACTTCCTAATGGGCCAACTCCCATGAGAGGTTCTTGTGGTACAGTGATAGTGTACCTATCTGTGGGCCAGGAGGCCCAGGTTCGAGTGCCATCTGCTCCTAGAAGTGTGTAATAACACGTCTGAACAGGTCGATTGGACAATGCCCACAGCACGCATGTGTCTCTGAAATGCTGGCGGTAAACTCTGCAGCAGTTTCCACAAAGTAGTCAACACGAGGAAAGACTTGTCTTCACAAAAAGCCCATCAGTTGATGTTTCGATACAGGGCTCTGCTATTCAGGGAGAACTTAATGCGAAAGGGAAACGGCACATTTTTTGCCAAGTCAATCTTGTTGACTCAGTGCCTGACATAGTACAACCAGAAAACTATTTTCACCTTTTACCTAAATCATTCGTTCTCTCAAAATAGATGACTGAATGCTGGAAATACAGAGCTGGCCACTCAACCTATAAAGAAGAACTGTCACATAATATTT